AAGAGCCTCTGTAGAGACAATTAAGGTCAAGAGCATGTGGACTCTCTGCTGCTTTAACTCACACACCCCTTTCTCTTTTCTTTTCTGCAGCCCCTGAGCATGTGAGACATATGATATTGAATCATATGATGATTTAAGGAACCAGCAGAATAATAACCAAAGAAAAATGGAAGAACAACCTTTGAAATATAAGTTTAATTTCAAATCTATTTTAATGAACCTTGTTTGCAAACTGAAATTTAAAAAAAATGTAGATGTGAAAAGTGTGAATTCACACTCACTGTGTGGTGTCTGAAAGTGGTTTTTAGTTGTCTTAGAAGCCAGAACCACATTAACATCAGTTTACACATTTTAAACAGAGTCTACATTATTTTTCCACTTTACCTGTAAAAGTCTAATTTGTAAAATATACACAATAAACAATATGTAACACACAATAAAGTATACACAATCTCTCAACCACTATCACTAGATGAGACAGTCCTCCTGTGAAACATGAGCCTATAGCTCGTCTGTGCAGCAGCTTATTATGACCCATAGTTACGCTTGTTGCTAGGTGTCATCTAGTGGTGGTAGTAATCATGTCAGGAGCAAAGGGAAAAGTGCAGTGACGTAGCATAAAGTGAGACAAAGTCCATGTCAGGAGAGCGGTGTTCGATTCCCATGTGAAAGTAGCAGTTTCGTTTGTTTCTATTATCCATGACCGTTCAAAAAAGTTAACTACGTTGTTATTATTGTAACCATGACAACAAAGATAATGTTGAGGGAAGTACCAATTTTAACCCAAATCATGATCTGTGTCCCAATTCAAAGTGAAAATGATCCATAGACCAGACCATCTCATTTCAGTCCGGCCCTTGCGGACTGCGAGGGCCACACATTCGTACACTGTGGCTTCTTGAACTGAGACACAATCTTTTCCCTAAACCTAACCCAGCAGTTTTAGTGCCTACACCTAACCAAGCCACGACCGTTGTTATAGTAACCATGGTGACAAAGGTAGGTACTGCGCTCTCAGTACTTTCCATGTGTTTATGATTTTAACCATGACAACCAAGGTCCAGGATGCCTGCCGCCTTAGGGGCACTATTTCAGGAGACACTCCTCTGGGTCGTATCAGAGGGTTGGTTGCTCTGGTTGGGGGCCTGGTTGTTATTTTTTGTGAAGTGTACATAATAAACAATATATAACACATAATAAAGTATAAAATCCCCATCACTGGATTCTCCTGGCTGCTCATGTTATTATCAAGTTAAATATTACAATAGTATTGATTTTTCATACTGCTGCACAGGAATAAACTTGTTTTTGCAACAAGCATCATCCAGAGAGAAGTTTACCTCATTTCCACCGCTTTCATCCAAAATCTAGTTTTCCTCTGTTCTAAGAAGGATTTGCCCCCCAGCTCTATAAAATAATTAAAAGATATTCTGTCTTCCTTTAATTTGGGACTATATTATATGTAATCCTCCAGACTTTAGTCTTAGCTTCCATCTTGGGCTTTTGATTTGATTTTGGTCATTGCTGATTTGATTCTTTCAATCTCCTTCTGGACATTAATATCAACTCTCAAGATGCCTGATGCTTTAATCCACTGCATTAATCTCAGACTCTCTTTCTTAAGAAAGGAGGGGAAGTGGTGTGTGTGTGTGTGTGTGTGTGTGTGTGTGTGTGTGTGTGTGTGTGTGTGTGTGGGAGGGGTGGGGGGAGTGGGGTGGTGTCAGGGCCATGGATTAACAAATATGTATTTTTTCAGCCTGCTGACACAACATCTCTGTCAGTTGATTTCTCCTCAGTCAACTGCAACAACAAAGAACGAAGCGACAAGCTCTTTCCACATTCACCTTTATTTAAATGTTCTTGGCCTCAGTGGGATCTTCTAGAGGGCAGAAGCATGATAACTTCACACAGGGAGCGAAAATACTTTGGGGGGGTGAATACTGGGGACATGCAGTACTTGCATACAGGACGACACATGGCTCTAGAGGTACAGTATAGAACAGCTTACAGAGGGAAAGTACAGGTAGACTTCACTTCCCATCATCCGTAATAAAAATGTGGATTAGCTCCATCATACATACAGAACAGGAACATAGGTAAAAGATCTCAAACATACACAGTGATATTTAAACATTTGTTTTAAAACTGAAAAAAAGACAGCAGTGTGATCAAACCACTATATGTGTATTGCCTTGCTTACATATCTACCCGCCAAAATAAAGTTCAATAAAACGTCAGAGGTGTCGATGTAGAGATCAAACGTTTGAAAAAGTGAGACCACAGGCAGTTAATGTCTTTTTCAACAACAATACAAAGCTTGTGTTGTCACTGATTCATCTGGAGGCAGTTTGACATAAGTCTAAAATTAGTGACACTATCACATTCTTTGTAAAGGATAAATGCCTCCCTCTCACTCTCTGATGGAAGAACTGGTGGCATCACACGAGCCAGTGGTAAAATAAAACATACAGTTTGATGACATCGCTGATTACATATAATGAAGCCATCAGGGAGCCCAACCTCTTTAATTCAGCATCCTCCAAAACTCAAACCACTCCCCTTGTTCTTCTCAATAAATGTATGCCTTCATTTTCCCTGTGAACAATTTCTCATGTCTTTGTCATGCAAATAATCTTGATGTTCTTACAGGTTAATAATTTGGCTCACTGTGCAAGTTTAAAACTGATGTCACTTATCACAATAATTCAGATTGATCTGATGTCATCGACATACTTAGGTTGATTATGCTAATGCTATGTTAAATAAAGTTGAGGTTTGGCCTTGTTAATGACAGTGCAAGGCTACATCCAAGCTACTACATTTTAGTTTTAAATCTCTTTTGCTACGTTTACACCCGGTGTCCACACTTGTCCAGAGCCCCTAAAACAGAGACTTGTGGAAACGCTGCTGACCCCGTTTTAATTTGCTAAAACGGTCGCCAGGACAGAGGTTGTTTTTGTTTTAAGACGCATTTTCAAACTGAAAACGTATTAGTGTGGAAGCAGTCCTAGTGATGGCAGTGTCAGCTTATCAGTCGTCCATCCATCTGTACTTGAACTACTGTTTGCTGTGGCCATGATGGAGGATGAATCCTTTTTGAGTCATTGACCTTTTCGTCATCACAAAGCTCAGCATTAATTTAAAATGTTTAGACTACTACTGGTTGTTTGTTCTGTCAACCTGTTTATAGGACATAATTAACATGGTAGCTGCTGTTAGGACTTGAGTGTCGGACTGAGGAGATGCAGCAGACTATAGCACTACCTGTATACTGAAGTATCCAGGTAATGTCTTTGCACTTGAGATTATGTTTTCCACCTACACAACAGCAGCCTTTTACTTTAGTGCAGTTTGAATCCACAGTGAGGGGCTGTTTGTGTCAAGTAAAACAAACTTCCCAGTTCAGTTTTACCTTGTTTCAGTAACAGACAAACTCTACTGATGCCTTAGGATGTTTCAAGTGTTTCCAGAACTGTACCAAACCTAAGTTAAAGAAGATCGACGCACAGGTTTCATGCCATCCACCACTTTTGTTCCAGTGTTGCTGTAACTTGCTGAGAAACTGTAACATTCCCAAAGACACAGGAGAATCTTCCAGCTCTAATCTTTTTATTTCTATTTTCCAAACTGATAACACTCCCTGAGCCTGGCTAACCTGACTAGCATTTCTAGCACTACTACCAAAGCATTCTGGGTGAAAGTTGCACTTTGAAATTGATGCACTAAGCAAGCTAACACCTATTTATGTCACTGTGTCATTAAAATGACTAGATTTATCAACTTTATTTTTATATATATTGTACTATGCAATTGATTTCTTTTGGATTTCAGTCTTTTTAGAGAAACATCAGGCTGAGAACTACGGTGGCCCAGAGAGCTCAACACACACAAAACACAAGTGAATTCAGAAAACATCTTCCTCACTTTGACAAAACACATGCTGCAAATACTCACAATGCAATGGAAGTGTTTCCAGGGGACACTAAAAAGTGATGAACCTGGCTGCGATGAACTTTAACTTCAAAAGTCAAAAAGCATTGAACAAGTGTGTTTCAGCTGGGTGCATCACTTTTTAGTGTCCCCTGGAAACACTTCTGTTGTGTTGTGAGGATTTGCAGCTCATGTGTTGTCAAATTGATGAACTAGAATTTGTTTCTGTTTTGTCTGTTTGCCTGTTGTGTTCTCTTAAGCGGCAGTGCATTGAGCTCTCTGGGCCATCGTAGACAGAAACCATCACCTTCACATTTTATCACACCACATGATTTAAAAAAAAAAAATCTAGATTTCAAGGTTGAGAAATGATGCAGATCCATTACAAAGAAACTAATAGGAGACCATTTCCACACCCTTCACCACAATGCAACATTTTCTAGTGTAACACGAAGACACAGTCAGAGACTTGTTCATAAACTTGGGAACAGAATGGTTTGTCCGTATTGCTCCAGAAATATATTTTTTAGTTTTAACCTTGTTTTTTTTTTTTTTTTTTTTTTTTTGGATGGTCAGTCTAATCTAAAACCATCAGTCCCATTTAGATCAATCAGAATATGACTTCAGTGATAAGTTGATCATGCATTTGTTAGCAGGCTTCCAAAAAAACAACAAAAAAAAAACTGACTGATTTTATCAGTTTCACAATTTCGAGTCGAGTACTTTTCTGAATGTGAGAGAGAAGCAACAGCAAAGCTCCAGTACAGAGACTGTGGACAGACATGAAGGTACAATGTCATATTTTTCATGCCTTCAAAGAACTGATATAGATGCACCTGCCTTTATTATGATCTTATTTAAAAGGCTGTTTGCATGGTGAGTGCTCCTGGTCACATTTGTGCTACTGACATGTTGTGGCCTCTTTTTACTCTCAGAACTTATTTGCTCACGTCACTTAATATCGATCAGTGATTGATTGATCCTTCAGTTCTTGGCTGTTGTGACTTTGAGTTTAAAGCTTGATGAGCAGTGAGAGGACACACTCAGGTCTTACAGGTGTTTACAGACACAAAATGCATTTTCTTCTGGTATGAATTCTGACAGAAAGGTGGAACTATTACAGGATGAAAACTGACAAAGCAAACGATGGAGGGAACAAGTTGGATTTTGGGTCAGTCTGTTTGGACCTCATGGAAAGGCTGTATGGGTGTCCGGCAGTACACCACTCTCTGAAAAGCTATATCCTTGACATTTCCAGGCCCTTGGATCTAGTTATCGTTGTCCTCTTCATCACTGTCCTTCATGGAAATGCCCTGCATCCCTCCTTCCCTCACTGAGGCAGTGGTTTCTTCCAGGGTCAGCCGGTTTCTCACGGTTTCATACATCTTACTGTTTAATGTGGAGTCCAGCACCCCTTGAAGGCGGAAGTCACGGTACTTTTTCTGTCACAAACAAAAGAATCAGAAGCAGTTGGCAAAGGCAATCGAGAAAAGACGTCAGAGGTTTTGTGAGATTCAGATACTTCCAGTCTTTGTGCTATGCTGAACACTAAACATCCTGGGCATATTTCTGTACCAGACACACAGATGTGAACCCATAAGATATTGGTAAGATTGAAAAACAAAAAAATCTAGGACTATTATGAATACCAATGTATTGGTTGGTGTATTTTTTAAGTCACATAGACACAGGGCAGTAAACATTTTTAAACATTTTTTAAATTTGATTAACACAGGATTATAAGTCTAGAATGAAGCTACTTCGCTCCGGTGGATGTACAGTGCATTCAGAAAGTCTTCAGACCCCTTCACTTTTTTCAGGTTGTAATCTCAACCAAAGCTGCTTCAACTAAGTCCTCAGTAAAACGTGAATACGTATGTCAATGGGAATTGTCAGTTTGTCCTTTTTATTAAATCTTTTCTTCAGGAACTAAAAGGTTCCTGTGGCCTATTATTGTCTGCGTTTCCACCACAGCCTAAAGTCCCAGGAAGATTATGAAACATTATTACTTGACATTACATTATTCGCAGCACTTTGAGGACATAACATGAACGAAAATACGGGATAAGTAGTAGTACAGTATATATTCAATACCAGGACGCAGAATTTTATTTTCAAACACGGGACGATCCCGTATTATATGTGACGGGTGGCAACCCTCGCCACTCCGGTTGTTGTGGTCCTTTATTTTTTTGATGTTCTGTTTCAGTTTTTTTACCTTCTCCTGGTCCTGTTTCGCAGTGTGGAAAATGTGTTCGCTCGCTCACTGCAGACTTTTAAACATGAAATAAAACGCAGCGAGTACTAGACCAGACAGAAATGTTCAGCACTGCAGACCACATCCCCAGAGTTCCTGAACCTTTGGAAAGTACTACCCCCTGACCAGGGACTTTTTGGGGGTCGATCAGTTACTCCAACTTTGAGACACCAAAGGCACAAAAGGGATATGGCGGTGTTTCCTCCAGAATGGGATTTTTCCACCAAAGTTATCAGGTGTAAGTGGGTTTTTTAAAGGCGTGTAAACCTGCTAATAAAAGCCAATTGACCCCTTTTGCACTGCCAGTGGAGTTTGTATTTCTTTTCAGACTGAGGTCACCCACAGCTGCGATGAGTGATTTTATCACATGCACACACACAGACGCAGTGGAGGAAGAGTGAGCTTTTAGTTGCTTTGCAAACTGGTAAAACAGATCTGTCTTGTCTCCTCCCCGGGTTTGTGCTTGTGTCAGATGCTTTGATTTGTGATTGTGTGTTTTTAAAACTTATTTCAGGGCTGCAGGTCACTCGTTCACATCTGAGCACAGAGTAGCTGTGGTATTTCTGGTTTAACAGCACCATGCTGGACAGGTGACAGGTGTGTTTACAGTGTTTGTGCTCTGAAAGACATTACAGCAGGAAAAGGGGTGGCTCAGTGGCTCATTATGACATATATAGAGAGAGGGAAAAGTGGGACAAAACCAGGAAGAATATGCTTCCAACTGGTTTTATATTACAGCGCTCAGACTTCAACAAGGATCTTGTTGCTTGTGTCATCATTATGTTTTGATATCATCACCTCGCTTTATATCACTGAACGTAGACATCCAACTGAAATAAGTCATGTCTCCTGTTTCCTCCAGGATTTAAGCTGAAATGATTTGAATGATGGAAGATTTCACTTCTTTATTCTCTTTATGAATAGTTTCTGAGTCAACCACACGACAGGTGGAAATCAATCAATGTTTGATTGAGAATGGGTGATTTGATCATTTGAGAGTGTTATAAAAAATCCTGCATTGAAAATGTATGGGTAGCCAGGGAGGGATAATGCCTACTTTTATTTCAGGGCACCTTCCTGAAGAAGGGATGTGATATAAGAATAATATCTTCAACCTCTCAATGCCTCATCATAATATGTAACCTCAAATTGTATTATTATTACTGATGCATTAAAATGTACCCAGTATCTTAAGGTTTCAGTTGGATGTTGGTGCCAGCAGCTTATCATGACCCATAGTTACTTTTATCAAGTGACATCTAGTGGTCAGACAAAACCAAATGAGACGTCTGGTACACGGAGGATTTCGCATTTATCCTCAACTGCTGCTTTATTTGTGGAGTCCTATTCTTGTTTGGAAAGTGATTCATCACTGGCGTGCATTCAATCTTGGGATACGTTGGACTGCGAAGGATCCACCCATATCCTTTGTTGCCCAGGAAACAACGGACACATTTGTCGGCTAAATTTGAAGGAGTCTTTGAAATGGTACAGTCTTAAAAATGCAGCCTTCAAGGATGTCGCCCCTAAATTGGGACACAGCTAGCATCGGTCTCTCCAGGACATGTTGAAGTTCAAATGACAAAAACAATAAAAAGGTTAGTTATTTATTTTTTAACACTTTATCTGCGGCAGCATGAATCCTGCTGCTGTACCGAGGCTGATTCAAGATTTCAACCTTTCTCAGAGGGTAGAGACACATGACCTATGTGGCTGTTTAGGTTGGAGGAATTATTGTTGGGTTGAGGTGTTGGGTAATGCAATCCAATATATAATATTTTGTCACATGATGTTATTCTATACATGTAAAATCTGTAATATAACAAGTAACTATAGTTGTCAAATAAATATGGTGGAGTAAAAAGTACAACAGTAGTATAAAAGCAGCTTGATCAAAACCAAACAAAGTATTTTTCCTTCTGAAACATTCTAAAATATGCAAATTCAAATAATCAAATATATAACAATGACACTGCAAAACCTGCTTACACATGTTTATCTCAGATGTTTTATCTCCAGTACAGTATCACTGTTAACTGTTAAAGACCTCACTCAATAATAATAATATCAAATTATGTGGAAGCAGCAGTAAAATGTTATTCTATTATAATAGAGTCACTTAATTTTATAACTTTGTTGTTGTTTCTTAAGAACATTTATAGAACAGGAGCTTACGGAAATATTATGTTTGCAAACGTGTGAGCAGCTGTTCTCACCTTGACGATCCTGATGAGAATCTTCAACTGATAAACATGGAGCTGAAGGTCCATACGGTCGGTCAGCCACGTTCCTATAAGGTTCATAGTGCTGGTGTACCATTGCTGCAACACACACACGCACAAACACACACACAATAGATATCACCATCTGATGCACTCAAAGCTTGTTACCTTGAGCACACACCCATCAAATGCAGCATTTTAACGCACAGAGCAATGAATTCACAACCCTAGAAATTAGCATCTGTAATCCACTGACTTGCTCATAGTGTATTTGGCAGAAAAAGCATGTGATGTCATCCTCGCAGTGTATCATCATGACACAGTTTCCTTGTGGATGTGAGGGGGAGCCCAGAGGGATGAAGCTGACAGATCCTCAGCAGCAAAACTCACACGGCCTCTTCAGCACAGAGCAGTCTTCTCTACAGCAGGGGGTTGTTCTGCTGCAGCTCACTGATGCCCACACAGTGTTGCCTGGGACCCAAGCTTAGGAAACAGTTTCTGCTCTTGTCATGTGGGTCTCCATCAGATATAGTCCCACAGGCTTAGCATCTATTTAAGTCTGGAGTGTGGACCCCGGGAAGATCCAGCAGCCCATGAGGCGTCAGTTAATGGAGATGCTAATGAAGAGTAAGGCTTGATATGCTCTTGGCACACAGCTACATGTTCTGAAACTGCCACTGACTTGTCAAAGTGCATGCAACGGATCTTTTAGTTGTCAGTTTAGCAATATGTTCCAGACTGTGTTTGCCTTTGAGAACTGTGGCCTCTCTCTTTAACAACTGACACGTGTCTCTTCAGTCTTCTAATGTCAGAAAAGTAAGTTATTCAGGGGAAAGAGGGCTTGAGTTAACTTTGCCACTCGTCCTGTATAATACGGGAACATTTGAAAATAAAATGCTGCGTTGCGTATTGATTCAATACAGGACACAGCATTTTATTTTCAATTACGGGTCATCTTCTCTTCCTGCCTTTCTTCTCTAATATTAATTGTAAATCAGTATTAGGCTACACTGTCGTTAGGCTTATTTTTCCACATAAAAGGTGGCAACCCTAGCTTGAGTACAACATATAAGTATAAATATGTTCAATGATATTGGCTCATTCAGCTGGAGAACTGCAGGAAACTGGGCTAATGACAGTTCTGAGTTGAGTCCAACTGGAGCCAATATCCCCAGCAAGACTGGACCTATTGTACCGCTGTGACATGGGCAAAGCTACAGGAAGTCAAATGAGGTGGTAAATGGACTTGGTTAAACATGACTTGGTTATAGCTCTTCATCAATGTAAAGGAAAGGACAGCAACCTTCCTCGTTAGGTAGAATTACAGTTTTTGATGACAGGAAGTGCTTCCTTTATGGAGGTTGAATACACTTTTGGACAGAGACATCAGATGGATGTAATGTAATGTAGTCAAATGCTCTGCGTACAGCCTGGTCTACAGTCACATACTGTATTATATTAAGTCTGTTTCAGAACCTGTATAATAAGTAAGTAACCAAGTAAAGAAAACTGTTTGTTTAATCTGCTAAACACAGGTTTGTATGTGCTTTACTGATACTAAATTAGTGAATATAAACTTTTAAATGTCATCTGTTTGTGAGACTAGAGTGGTTCCAGTGATCCTAGACTCTGGCAAAGAAGTCCATTGAAGAACCCCCACCCCACAAAAGGAGACAATTGGCAGACACCACAATCTTCAGATCTCCCCTCACATGCAGGCAATGTGTAGACGCTCGCTACAGCACACATCATCAGGGCAACAGCAGGGAACTGTGCAGTGTCTTTATGTCTTTATAGTTATAGTTTATAGTTGTCATTGCAAAATGTACCAATATGAGGAGTCATCGGGTGCCCCCCTTTCACCTTAGGGGACCCTAGCATTTGCCTGGTTTGCCTGTCCTGATGGTGCACCTCTGAGTGGTTCATTATATTTAGCTATTGATCTCTTCTTTGAATCGCATAGCTAATGAGCTTTGTAGAGCTGTGTTTTTGCTAGAGGTCTAGAGGGATGTATGTTATTAATCTGTATGACATTCACTTTTAGTAAAAACCTATTTTTCAATTGAAGTTTTCAAATTTTTGATATGGACTAGACACAAGCTGCTGTCAGAGAACTTTGCCTCAGGTAAAATAGTTGAACCTTTGAGTGGATACTGTATGAGTGTGCTTTAGTATCACAGCAATATCAAGCTGAAGTTAGAGCATTAACCATGGAAGTCTGGTGGCTGTGATGTGAAAATTAGGGCCCTATCTTACACCTGACGCAAAGCAGCGCAAAGCGCAATGCAAGTGTCTTTGTTAATTTCAGACTGACACAGTTCTCATTTTCCCATCCAGCACCCACATTGTTTAGACAGCAAATACACTTGCACCTTTCTGAGCACCCATGAGTGTCATGGTCTTAAAATGAGGTGTGGTCAGGATCGCTGTTGATGCATGATGCATTGTTATCATGAGGCAGCACAAATTGATTGTGTGATTGACTGGGAAAAACTGGTCTAAAGTCAGCGTCGCAGTATTTCACTGTTATTTTAAGGTGCATTGTTAAGAGAGTAACACGTGTCAACATGTCTGTTACACACAAGCAGAGTGAGTGTACAAACTTATATAATCATCATATGACATCAAATATTTCTGACATTGTGATTTGTGCGGTTACTTCAGCACTGATTCACTAAGACTGGACTGGGCTCACTGGTCAAGACTGGACTCACTGGCCAGGACTGGGCTTACTGGCCAGGGCTGGGCTTACTGGTCAGACACAATATGTGATCAACTGACCACAAACAGAATCTAACTCTGGTTGAAACACTGCGCCGTTGTAACAGCAATCTGCCAAGGTGCAGGCTTTTAAACCACACGCTTCAGAACATGAGCTTTGGATCGTTTAAATAAAGTCCTGAGTGTTTTATACTGAATGTGTAAGTTCTTACAGAGGCTCATTTTATTTCAGCTAAGATATGATTAAATCTAAACAAGACTGAGAAAATGATGAAGCATTCAGGGCTGAATTTCAGAACAGTCAGTTTTTGCTGCAGTGATGCAACAGACACAGTTCAGTCATAGCACCATAGCTGGGCCAACACTGTTCATGTCATGTGCACAGGTGTTAAAAGCTTCAACCTTGAAGTGTGCCGCTCTGTTTCGACAGGCCTCCTGTAAACAGCGACCTCTGCGAGGCACAGCGAGCTCAGAGCGCAGCAGCCGCGCACGAACTGAGCCGAGAGGCTGCAGATGTTTCTCTGTGGGCCCTGGCTGTTGCCAGTCTAATTGATGGATAATGATGAGCGTGGGCTGATACTAATAGAAGCCGACTGACTTTCAAGAGTCAGGGTCACAGCGGAGTGGATGCAGGGCTGGAGAAGAATGGGAAAGAAACGAAGGGGAAGGGAAGGGGGGTGGGTGGATGGGGGGTGGGGGGGTGGGGTGGGGGTACAGAGAGCGTATGTGTTTCAAGTGGTAATTGTACAAGATAGATTTTTATCCTTGAGAGTAAATCACTTATGAGCGCTATCATCCATTAAATTCAACCAAGGAGAAAGTTCCAGGTTTGATGTCAGTTCAGACTCGGTGTGGAGAGAAACCAGACGCAGGGATTGAGTTGTGCTAAAGATAATTTACCCATTCTGAGCATTAGTTTGTGTCTGGAGGACGGCTGTCAGGAGATCAGATTTTCACTACATGATGATTGTGGCCAAGAAAAGTCACAAAAACAATATTACCACAATATTTTGAGAAAATTTGAACAAAATGATAATAGTCAGACAAACTCATCTTTACCTTTGTGTATTGTGTTTTGTCTCTTTTTTCGTCAAATGAATTAGACTCAAACACGATTGTATTAACACAAGTGGATTAAGTGGTTTAACCCGATATCAACATTTCATTGTTTAAATATCACGGTTGTCGTCATTACCGGTATATCACAACATGCCTGATCTGGACTAACAGCTAACCATCAATAACAATAATTCCTTTATGTATTTCAGACCTGCAGAGGCTACGAGAACAGGAAGACAACAGATCTACATGTAGGTCAAGCTCAGTGCGGGGAACATGGCTGTGCCGAGGCAGTGCTGGGGTGAATCAGTGAGGCGACCCGGTGCCAGCAGCTTCCTATCTTTCGCTGTGTGCCTGTGAAGGCTTCGGCGTGGCAGCAGGCCTGTGATCTCGCCCCGAGCACAACCCCCTGCGGAGAGGCCAGGCCTGGAGTGACTGATCCGCTGACTGGCTGCTCTCCCTCTCTACCATCATCCACTCCTCCTTCGCTTCTCCCCGATTCTTTAGACTTTGCACCACGCCGCACAGCTCCCATCTGCAGCCGTTTTTTTGCAGCAGCCATTTTGTGTCCTGTTTACTCCTCTTCATTTTATATAAAAAAAAAAAGAGGCTTGACAGCTAGGTCACAAGTCTTCTTGCTGCCATGACTGGCATTTTGGAGGTCTGTCAGGGACATCTTGTGTACACACGATGCCTGCGATTTTCAACAACTTTAAGATCTTTTTAATGCCAGTCTGAATGTAGAAGCACTTCCATCATTTTAAAAAAAACAAAGTGATCCATGGGAAGATATCCTCACGACTGGTTTGAAGTCTCATGAGAAAAAATATTTAACTTGGTTTAAGACAGTTTTCACTCCTCCAGTCTAAGAAAAGAAGGGGTTACATGCTGTACAGATTAAAAAACCTTTTCTGTGCAGATTTGTGTATCTAAATCATACTGCCTGAACCTCTTTAAAATGTCATCATAATTATCGAGACATATGGGATGAACCCCATGACTTACTGCTGAGGAAGATTAGCAAGTTTCATTGTGTCTCTCTGTCAGAGGATGCATTGAAAAAGAAATTAATCAAAAATAAATAACTACAAATAAAAGTAATTAAAAGTAGACAATGGAATCTGGAAATTAAGATACTGTCACAGTTAAAATTGTTGAGTTGTCCAACCTAAACAACAAAACTGAACATTGTTCTGATGAAACCCAGATTGAACTGTTTGGCTGGAGGAAACCAGAGATGACACTTCTTCTTCTGGAAGTTTCTGCGTCTCCACACAGGATCTCTGGAGCTCAGAGAGAACATCAGGGTCTTGGTCTCC